TTCTGCTGCATGCAACAAAGCTTGGATCATCGCTTCCCTGGACATCAACATGGCTTTCTTGAAGGGACTGACCTATGGCGAGCTCGCCGCGGCAACGGGCGAGAAAGAGCGTGTGGTGTGCTTCACACTACCACCTGGGTCAGCAGCTGTCCTTCGCACGCTGCCAGGCTTTGAGTCATATGACGAATCAAAGCATTGTCTTCGGTGTCTGAAGCCGGGGACGGGCACGAAGGATGCTCCCAGGGCATTCTCGCTGAAGCTCAGGTCCATCACTAGGAGCTTTGGGCTACAGCCTACTTCATACGACGAAGAGTTCGAGATGAGCTCAAACCTCTTGACAGCCAAGCACGTTGATGACATCAATATGACTGGGAAGGAAGAGGCTATTGACAAGTATGTCAAGTGTGTTGAAGATACGTTTGGGAAGTGCAAACTGAACAAGCACACATACACAAACTGTGCCGTTCGGTATAACAAGACCGATGATGGGAGCGTCACTCTTGATCAGGACGAATACATCAAACAGCTTCGTCCTATCACACATCCAGAACTCACAGGAGCTGATCCTGAGAGCAAAGCGACAAAGACGATTTCTGATATGTTCGTCAGTCTTCGTGGCGCTCTAGCCTATGCGTTGATCACGCAGGTATGGCTGATGGTCTATGTTGTCTCACTACAACGTATCCAGGAACCGACAAACATCCAGGTACGACGACTAAACGCGGTTACCAGAAAACTACAGGCAGGTCCGAAGAAGATCGTGTATCAAGCTATGACCCCAACAGGAGAAGTCGACCTGCATAGCGATTCTGGCTATCGTCGTCTCAACGGAGATGAAGACGACGAAGTCAAAGGCTATGGTATCCGCGGGGCTAACCTGCTGAGGCGTGGCCACACGCAAGCGGGGAAACCCGTCGTGCACCTGGTGGACGCATACTGCAAGTCTCATCGACTGCAGGTGCGTTCGAGCTACTCTGCGGAAACACTGGCAGCAGCCCACAACTTGGAAGACTGCTACCCGACCATTGTAACGCTCCACGAGCTACACTCGGGACCATTGACCCCCACACAGTTAAAGAACATATTGGAAATGGGTGGTCTATGTATCAAAGTCACTCTGACTATTGATGCCGAGTCTGTCTTCAAGTCTTTGTCTAGCAAAGATCTGAAGAAGCCCACAGAATGTACTCTGCTTGGGCACATTAGCTGGATCCGCCAGATGATGGAGCGCGGAATCGTTGAAAGCGTTCAATGGTGTGACACGCGGGATATGACTGCCGATGGTCATACCAAAGGTAGTATTGACCGCGCGTTGCTCCTACAAGTAATGGCCGGCCAGCAATCCTTCAAGCACGAGCTGAAGAAACATACACCGTATAGGGCGGGCAGGTCGTCTCAGGACGGCCCTGCCTCCCGAGCTAGCGGGGAAACCCGCGGGCAGGTGCGCTTTAATAGCGAGGAAACTCGCCGGTAGCGAGGCTACTCGCGCGCCCTTTCCTTGTAGGCAGCCGCTGCTGCTTAGCACTGTTTTTCCGCATAATGTAGAAGTGCGGCGCCTGCTCGTCTCCTCCCCCTCCGACTTTAAACGGAGAAGGTTAAAGGCGAGGTATAAATCGAGCATGCACCGCTGCCGTGCCTGGCTCAAGCCGGGCCCGGCCAAATATATGATTGTGCCTCACCGAGGCGCGCGACTTGCATCAGAGATCGGAAAATACCTTTTCCATTGACGATGCCCATCCTATCCTTTACTCCAGATCCCATGCTTCGTCTTGCTCTCTTGCTCATGCGATATGAGCCAAAGCCTGGGATATGGCAACGCTTAAAGCGTAACACATACCTAAGCTTACCAGCTTGTTTTCGACTATGTACGTATGCACCGTCGTGGCATGTACTGAAATGTAATGTGATGTAATGAAATGCATTGTAATACAATGCCATGCAATGTAGCGCAATGTAGCACATTGTAATATAATGTAGTGTATAGAGCAGTAACGTAGTGGAATGTAAGGTCATGCGACGTAATGTCGCAGTTGTAAGTTAATGGCATGTAAAGTATTGCGCTGTATGTATGTGTGTACGTCTGCAGTCATGCATGCATGCATGAATGCATGTATGTTTGTGTGTATGTGTGCACGCATGTGTGCAATGTTCTATGTATGTATGCGTGCATGTAGATATGTAACGTTGCGCAATGCCATGCCATGCAATGTAATGTAATGTAAAGAAAAGAAAATGCAGTATAATGGAATGTTACCCAATGTATTGTAATGCATTGTGATGCGATGTACTGTGTGTATATATAGTGTGCTGAGTTGTAGTGTTTCGTATTGCAATGTAGTGCCATGCAGCGTAATGCAATCCAATGACATGTTGTGTGGTGTGGTGTAATGTAATACACTGCGCTGCAATGCAATTCAATGCAAAAAGCAATGTTTTGCAATGGAGTGCGACTCAATGTATTGTAATGTAATGTGTAATGTAATGTAATGTAACGCAATGCAATGCATTGCGTGTCTGTATGTATGTACATAGACGTATACGCCCCTGGCCATTTCCTGGGGTGCGTTCTGACTAAGATTTTAAGGTGGATCCAGCCGTGACCACGAAGGCCTCCAATGCAGCCCCAAGAGGCAATTTGACGACCACAAGCTTCACCTTTGATCCTCGTTCTTCCTTCGCCCCCATCTTGGCCGTCGCGAGTTCTGCAGGTCACTGTCGTTCTCTCGCGTGCCAGTCTGCGTCGTGCAATCTAAGTTGTGCAAACGATGCAGTGCAATTAATTTCGACAAACTTGGGGTTGTAAGCTCCACTGCTCGCGCAATCATCCGACCCACCCACCCACAATTTGGCTTGCAAAGCCCATGCGGCGGGGATTGCGATGAATGCTTGGCGTTGGCTGGTGCGTCTCCGCGGCCGCGCTAGCCCGCGCATGCTCGCGCGCACACCGGCCAGGTAGCTTGGCGCGACCGACGCGGCCGCGGTGGCGTTGACCGCTGGGCACTTCCCAGCGGGCACTTCGGTACAAGACGGTAATTTTATCCGGGCGCGATATCATGGCGACGCCGACAAGCAGGTAAACACGATGATGATAGTAGCGATGATGGTGACGATGGTGGCGTTGACGAGGGCAATGCCAATGACGGCGCCGATGCTGACCATGCCACGCCGATGACGATCACGGTGTCCCCGCGTCGGTGATGAAGGTTCCAAAAAGAGTTCGGCATGCGCGCTCGGCCGACGCGCGCGAGTGGCCCGCATGGTGTTATGTGAGAGGGACAGGGCCCGTCCCAGGACGCCAGGAAAGGTGTTTCGAATAATTTCGCGATGCGGCGCGAGAGGCCCGCGTGGTCGAATTTCATGAACTTGTTGGGACACCAGTGGGTGTCGCAAGAGTTCGCAAGAGCGCGCGCGCAGATCTTTTTGCAAACGGATGTTGCAACACCGCGTTCTCGTTATATGTTTTCGGGGCAATCGGTTTTGAAATCTGAACGGCGCCACAAGTTTCTGAAAGATGTTGCATCGGCCTGCGACGACGCGTGCGTGTGCACTTCGTCCCGCATTTTTTCCAAAGGCTTTTTGCGACAACGCGTGGCGCCCGAACGATTTCGACACGCGCGCGCGATAGGCACGTTTGGTAGCAAATGGCGAGCATGTTGAACATCGGTGGTTCTCTTAAGACCTCACATGATCGTGGGAGCACGCTTTGTTTGAAAGTACGTTTTGCGAAACCACGACGCCCGCGGTTTTTGACAGATTTCGGTATGTGCCCGCGACGGCGTCATCGTGTGCACGTCGCCCATAGTTTTTGCAAAGCACTCTTGACAATTGACGGTTCTTGATCGACGAACGCGCGCATAATATTTCTGGGAGAGGATGAGGGGGGGCGACAAGGGACTGCCTCTGATGGTACAACTCATATTAAGAATGAACGATTGGGGCAGAGCCATATGATAATTGCAGTACGAAAGCGTTTGACGCGTTAGGTCTGGGGGGTAGATCATCAGACGTTTTGAACAAATCTAATACATTTAGTGTGCGCTATGTGGTGTAAGCTTTGTGAACTATGCGGTGTGAGCTGTGGCGACGGGCGGCGGCGACGGGAACAGCAAACGCGGTGACCGACCGCCAAGCGTAGAAGCAGCGGCGACGGACGGCGGCGACGGACGGCGACGGCGACAACAATCGTGGCGACCGACAGCCAAGCTCAGAAGCAGCGGCGACGGGCGGCGGCGACTGGCGGCGACGGTGACAACAAGCCGGCCAGGCCGACAGCTGGGCCGAGTTCTTTTGAACATGCAAGAATCCCTGAGTGCAAGCACTGTCTGGGGACGTGGACGCATGTTGAGTTCGTTTCGCATGGGTGTGGGCGAAAGCGTATTTCGATGTCATCGTCGTTTTGCTGCTTCTCCTCCCCCTCCTCGCGAAGTGCCCGACGAATCCAACAAAGGCGTCTGTACACCTCCATGCTTGGCCAGACTCCATCCTGGGCCCTGGGCCCCAGTTAATGTACAAATTCTCTTGGATTTGGCCAGGAGGACGTATACACCAGTGTCCAGGATGGTCGTTGTGATTTGACCCGCGCCAACCGCGCGGCGGCGGATGCAGTTCTTCGAGGTGCGCAAGGAGGCGCGCAACGGGGAGATCAAGTCTCTGACGGATGCCAAAGCCGTGTTGAGCGGAGCGGACTATTCCCTGCTTGAAAGGGATGTCCGCCATGGTTTCCTCCGCAAGGCGTGAGGCCTTCTAGATACGCGTTTGTAGAGGGATTCCCCGATGCGGCATGTTCGTAGAGGATTAACAATTGCATCTGTTGTCGTTGCTACCGTGTGCCATGGCCGTTCTGCACACTCCAGGTGTACGTCGTATTGCGGCGGCGGCAAAGACGTCGACAAACACGATGACGGTGGCGGCGACGACGTCGTCGACAACCGCGGCGACGGCGGCGACCGCCGCGGGCGGTGTCGCCCGCGGAGGCCCAGCCGCCGCCTCGCAGGTACACGATGCGCCTCGGCCCGCTCGTGATCTACGACGAGGCGCCCGCCGCCCGCTGTCGTTGTCGTCGTCGACTTCGTCCTTGACGTCGTCGACAGCGCCGCCGTTGACGACGACGTCGTCGCTGCAGGCGTCGCCGTCGCTGGCCGTCGCCCTCGCTGGTCGGGCTTCCGCGCTCCAGTCTCGAGGCCGGGGTGCAAAATCGCATCGCCGGGCGTCGTGCCGCGATCGGGCAGGGGCTCCCCGCGGGGGCCCTTTCTTGCTGGCCCTGGGCAGGCGGGCCCTCGCCGGGTCGGGCGAGGCGGTCGCAGAGGAGCGGCCCTCACCCAGGGCGTCCGCGGTTTGGTCAGTTCGGTTCGGTCGGTTGCTGCCCCGCTGCGTCCTTCCAGGCCGCCATCGGTGCGTCGGTTTCGGTCTTCTGTCGGCTCGGTCGGTCTTCGGTTTTTGTGTCACCGGGGACGTCCGTGCACTGACAGAGCGGGGCGTGCACAGAGCACGGCGGAGGGTTCCGCCAGAAGCTGTCCAGGGTGGATGGATGGGAGGGGATTCTCGGATCCATGTCTTTATGGTTACCAGCATCATCACCACCGCCGTAATCTCCTCATCATCGTTACCGTCGTCGGTCGTTTGTCGTCGTCGTCGTCGCCGCCGTTGCCGCCGCCGCCGTTGCCGCCGTTGCCGTCGTCGTCGTCGTCGTCGTCGTGCTCATCCTCATCCTCAACCTCATCCTCATCCTCCTCCTCCTCATCCTCATCATCAGCAGCACTGTCATCGTCGTCATCATCATCATCATCATCATCATCATCATCATCATCATCATCACCATCATAATCCTCATCACCAGCATCATCACCATCATTATCATTTTCATCATCACCATCACCACCACCATCACCATCATCAGCATCAGCATCATTCGCATCAGCATGACCATCACCATCAGCATCATCATCATCATCATCACCATCAGCATCATCATCAGCATCATCATCATCATCATCATCATCGTTAACACCATCATCATCATCATCAGCATCGTCATCATCATACGCATCATTACCATCATCGGCATCATCATCAGCATCACCGTAATCATCAGGATCATCACTGTCACTCTCCGTAGCCATGTCGGCTCAAGTTGAAACCCGTGCCCCGTGGTTTATTTTGAATGCAACCGAGTGGTTGGCTAGAGGAAGCTTTCGTCAGGCGGCGTGCGGTTACAGTCAAAGCACTCCTTCCGCACCACCATCCTCTTGCCCATCCTGCTCCTTAAACTTGCATGCGCTGTCTGTTGCAGTGACTGCTTCTCTCCTGCAGCTACACTTTGCCCCCTAGGGAAACGGAAAAGGAGCGAGCCTGCGGCGCGCGCGTGCGTCGGCCGGCGGGCCGGCGTCCTCCTTTCAGTGCTATTCGAGTGTATGCTTGACGGCATTATCCCTTCTTCCCCATGTCATCGGCGAAGCCCAGTGACCATGATATATCAACGGAACATATTGCAGGGATTCTGAAGATCCAGGCAAAAGATTGGTTACCAGCCGAAACGACGGCACAGCCGTTGGCTTCGCAGAGCATGGGATCACAGGAAGGAGCGCTCGGACGAACAGAAGATCTATGCCTTCCCGAGCGTGGCGCAGGTGTGGCCGCCTCTACGAGACGACCGAACTCTCTTAACCTTCCCGGAAGGCAGGCATCAGAGACCGTGTTTGGTTCGACAGAAGGGGATTCCTCGGTTGATTCGGCGACCAGGTCTAGAGTCTAGAGCACAAATCTCAGGCGGAATCTATGGCGCAGCCACAACTTCCGCCGAAAAAACGTTTGGTTTTACGTCGGTGCATCCGGGCTCCCAGCCGTCGATTGACCTAGATCTCGAGATGGAGAAATTGTTGGATCACGTTCCCATAGGAGTGTCAGGTGTCGAGAATCGACAGAGCGAGGATGTGAGTGACTGGCAATTGGAAAAGGACAACTCGCATACAATTGAAAAGAAAGAAGAAGATGCCGAATTCCATACCTCGCCAGGTCCATCGCATCATCTCGATTCCCTTCCCGATGGATGTATCGGGCCTGCCTCAGGCGCAGACCCGGCAGTGAACATGACAGTTTACCATGTCACGGTTGAGGCAATCCAGAAGGCCGTTCTTGGTTCGGACGATGATCTCGAAGACGGAGGAAGCCCCGACAGAGGCATATGCTCGTCGGCACAGCCGATATCGAGCTCTCCCGATGTTGTGCGTACAATACGGAACACGCGAGAATCTACAGGCATGACCCCCCATGGGATGACAAAGAAGCCGAAGGACGAGAATAACGCCTTACACTCTTCACCTTTATTGCAAGGTTTTCACCGCCCAGATTTCGCACTGCCCCGGACTAACAGGGACAGAGTGCCAGAACTTGACGCGCTTGTAATGCAGGGCGAAGGAGACGAAACAGCACAGAGTCTCTAGACGTTGATTTTAGTGACTGGGGTGTAAGAGCAAGGGAGCAACGCGCGCCTGCCTCCAGCAGTGCGCGAGGTCGTTCCAGCGAGGCCCCCAGAGCTGGACGTTCTAGTGCTGGGGGATTCGACGCCTTTGCTTCACCACGATTGTCGTCGAATGCAACCGCTGGCAGCTTCTCGATGCGGGGCAGTTGCTGGAATGCCGGGTCTACGCGCCCGACTCAGTTTGGGAATCGATGCCGGGGGGGGCGCGCAAGCCGGGGGGGTCATGTCGAAGGCCTGTGCGGTCACAATGTTCGACTGTTTGCCCGTTTGTCCGAAGTGTTGTTAGGCATAGCATTTCGAGGGCTGCATTGCGCTGGAAGAACGCAGTTGCCATCGCATCACCATTCAAGAGTGGGCGGAAAGACAGACAGGATCGAGAACAGTTGAGAGCTGCGAGTGCCCAATTTTAAGTACAGCAGATCATCCATGAGGCGCGGGTAGATGAGGGGGCCGCTCAAGAGGCTAAACGCATGCCTGCAATATCCGAGGCAGAGAGGCAAGCGGCAGCACAAAAGGTGGAACGCGAGAGAACTGTCATTGTGGAGGACGCGCAGAAACGGACGCAGCAAGCTGAGGCCAGTGTAGCAGGAGTTACAGGCGAAGCTCAGCGGCGCCTTGCTCAAGAGGAGAATGAAAGATTGAGAATCCAGGGCATGGCCGAACAACTGGTGTCAGACTCCTAGCAAGAGGCAAAGATATATATGGATGAATTCAAAGAAATGGCCGATGCCACCAGGAGGGGAGAAGCAAGAGCCGGAGAAGAAGCAGCGACAGGAAACCAGGAGCTCCGCAATCACTTTGAAGCTGCTAGACTCGAGGCCGAAAGAAAATCCAGAAGCTCTGCGAGCCCTTCGAGAACAAGAACAGGAGGCCCAGGTAATCAGAGATGAGGGCCAGAAGAGCATGGCCGCGGCCTGGGATCGTCCGAAAGGGCACGCAGATGAACCAACGAAGGCAACGACCTTACCACTCGCGCCGCGAGCGAGGAAAACAGGAGGTTGAGGTCTGACCTGGAGCAACATCGGATGGACAAAGAATCGCGGGCAAAAGTCTGGTTATCAGGGCAACCCGCGGAAGATATCTTGTCAAGAGCACGGCCTACGACTGCGGCTTTGCCGGCGGAAGTGGGCTTCAAGGGAACGCTCGGATCGACGCCAGCACAGCCGATGCATGTTGAGCCGCCCCCTCATCGGGTCGCTCCTCGCCCCGCTCGCAAGCGTAACGACGTGCAAGCTCAGGCGCGAACGGGCATTCCAAGTCAGATATGTCACCTTTGTAACGAACCTTCAATCGAGGTATGCATGGGCTGTTCAAAACGCACATGTAGGGGCCGCCTGGATATTGGCACCAAGCGGCGCGCTGAGTGCGCGCAGGGCGCCCCTGATGCTCGCCGTGCAACGACCCGGATGAGAAGGCACCGAGACAACCGGATTTGCCTCGGGATGTTGGATCAGAACGCAAGACAAGCGAGCTCGCCCATCTCATGGGCATGCCAGTATTCAAATCAGACAAGTCGGATTTTGATAAAATGCCAATGCTGACCGCTCCGCCTACGCCCGCGCTTCCCTTCGCAAAATCGCATGTCATTCCCGGGCCGGCTGTCGAGAAGTCTCTTGGAACGAGCGAAGGTTCAATGCGAAAGTATGTCAAAGAAATGAATCCTGGGAGCGCCCCTTCTAACGCCAAGATTTCAGGGCTTCCTGGCATCTTTGACTTTTGCCTGGGCACCTTCACCGTCGGCTTAGCCGCGACCGGCGATGGAGGTGGAGATCCGGGAGGACATGAAGATGACCAGAGAGATGACCAGAGTACAGCCCCAAGCGCGGAGATGATCGTCGCGACGCATTTTGACGAGACAGGTAGACCCACGCCACCCGTTGGCCCCCCAGGGAGGCCAGGTGGCGGCGGTGGCCCAGACGGAGACGGCGGCAAGGGGCCGAATGGCCATAATGACCCAACCTGGCAGCCGTTTAATGCCAACAAAGTGGATGTGAATTGGAGAAGCTTTGGAAACAACAAAGAGCTGAACTTGCCGGACATGCCGAGTGTCTAGACACTCCGCGAATGGAAGCAGCATTGCATGATCGGTAGTTGGATCATGGCAAGACGCTGAGACGGCACATGCATGGGTTACTGAAGCCATGGAACCCGACGTGCCGAAGGAAAACTTTAGAGACGCCGGGTCAATGATGCGTCTTGATATGATGATCGCAACGAACCAGCTTGAGAATTTGCCGAGATGAAGCGCATCCAACGTCTGTCAGTGCAGCATTTTCATTTCCTTTCACAAATTAACCGCACGGAGCATTCCTGTCAGATTGAGGGGCTACTCCTCACTGGCCGAGAAATGATACGTGCAATATATGTTTTGGTGCTCTGTTAGGTCTGAAAGTGGACAACGCTGGATATGTCGAGATTTGTTTACAATGACGACTGACCGACAGCAGCCCAATCAAGACTTGCACCACTTCCATGGTGAATAGATGGGACGATCTCAAGAGTTGTGCGGCGCCAGGGAACCGTCGGATGAAATGAAGGCCATGCGCATTTCTACGA